GGGCCCAGCAGGGTGAGCAAGGTCTGTAGGCACAGGGGTGATTGTGTCACACCAAGGGGAAATAAAACATCCCTTCCTCATCTGGCAGGGGGTCCCAATGGCTATGGACTGTCACAGCATGGCTTTTGGGGACGTTGTGTGCAATCCAGCTGGGCAGGGTCACAGCCAGGCTGTGCTGGGCACCTTGGGCAGGCAGACCCTGGGGGCTCAGCCCAGGGCTTCATCCCATCCCACCTGGATGAAGTTGATCCTGAGTCCTGAAAATGCCTGGAGGCTGTGGGGCAGTGCTGGGCTCTGTCCTGGGCACCAGCCTGGTTACAGCCCTTGCCCACTCGAGTTTGGGGTGCAGGAGTGACCCAAAATCAGGGCTGGATGTTTTGCCTTTCCCTTCTGCCTGTGCTGGCTGTGCACGCTGTGCCCAGGGCCAGGTTTGGAGGGTGGCTCTGTCGCCCTTGTGTGGGATCTGCATTCACTCAGTGACTCACAAAAAGCAGCATAAATTAATTACCTTCCTGGTTCTTGGCTTTGCCTCGTAATTAGCGACAACAAAATAATGAGGCTTAAATGAAACATTTGGTTTGTTCTGGAGGAAATTGTTTTGCTTAGAAGCACTTTCTGTACCTGTGCCTTAACACAAAAAACAAGAAGTCAACTTCTCACCAGGAAATGGCATTTTGGGGTGGAAAATCAACGCTTTTCCGTTCTGGATGTTGAAGCCACTGGGTGCTTAGAAGGTTGCCCAAATCAAGCCAGGCTGCTGAAACCAACCCAAAAAGAGCTGCAGGGGAGCACTGGGGTGACCTGGACCTGCATTAAAACTCTGCCTGCTCCCTGGTGAAACAGAAGAGGGTTTGGCAAAGCCCAAGCTGCGTCACAGCCCCACATGTGCCATCCCAGTGGGATGGCTGTGGGAGTAAGCCAGCTTGGAGCTCTGTGGGGCTGGAATTTCAGGGCACGTGGTGACGTTGGAGCTTGTGAGAGGCAGTGAGTGTAATTTAAGTACAGTGATTTTACCCCCTCTCCTGGCAGGGTGACACCAGCCATGGCCTCGCTCTATTTATAGATGTAAATCACCAGCTCTTTAATTCCTTTTGAGCAAATTCAATTTTCATCCCCTTCCCTCGAGGTTTCCCTGTTACATCTGGTGCAGCTCTCTCCGTTCTCCTTGTTCCCTGCCTTTGCAGGGAGCTGCTGGATCCAGCTCCATTTTCCAAGGGAGAAGCACAGCAGAGACACCCTGACATCTCCCATGGCCCTTCTGGAGGCCACAGCAGTCAGCAGAGCCTGGCTGATCTTTGGGCGAGGGAAGAGAGAAATCCACTGTGGTTTTTTCCGAGCACGAAGGATAAATGGAAGAAGCTGCAGCCAAACTCTGGAGGACTGGGATGGATTTTCCCCTGGGAGTGAGTTGCAAAATGTTGTGTCACTGCATCGTCATCTTCACAGGGCTTTAACCCTGCTGGGGTCTTACCCCCATCTTTGACCTGCCCAAAACAAGCGTGGGAAAGCCAGATCCCAGGGGCTCAGAGCTCTGCAGACCCTGGAGCCCAGCCCAGCCCTCCTTCCCTTCCCTTCCCTCCCTGCTGCTCCTTCAACACAGAAAGAAGGGCATGGTGCTGAGTCACAGCTCGTGGATCACTTGTCCCCAGGGCTGGTGACACATCTGTGATTTTGGGGTTCAGCCAGCACAGTGTCAACGTGTGGGCTCTCCGTGGTGCCTGTGTCACACAGAAACGTGGGAAGGTGTGCACACCTGCTGCTTCCCTCACCTGGCATTGCTGCTGCCCCTCTGCAGGGCCCACCTTGCCAGCCTGGTGTCCTGAAGGGTTAAGGTGGCCCTTGGAGGGGCCGGTGCTGTCAGGCACGCTGTCTCCTCCAGCCCTGCTCTCTGCAGTGTCCTTCAGAAGGGCAGCCCTTCTGAGCATGCCTGCGCCTCCTTCCCAGGCCCTGGGCTGCTCCCAGCCACCCTGCAGCCCAAACCTGGGGTCCCCAGGGCTGCAGAGAGCATCTCCCGGGGGGCTTCACCGCCCCCTTTGCCCAGACTGACCCTTCATCTACCTCTTCCTTCCAGAACAGAATCCCTGCGGGTGGGAGAGCTCCTAACCCTGGTTAATAATTGAGTGATTCCTCCAGCCTGCCTGCTGGAGCCTGCAGCTGCTCCAGTAAACCTGGCCAGGATGGGGGGTTTGTGTAACCACTCTCCTTTTCGTGCCTCCTCTTGGCTAGCAGGATCATCCTGAGGCCCTGGCCCTGCGTGGGTGCTTGGGAATGTGGGCTGAAGCTTCAGGAGCATCCAGCTTAACCATGAACGTGCCAGGCCCTTCCAGCTGTGCCCTGTCCTCCCTTCCATCCTCCCTCCCCGTCCAGCAAATCCACTGACCTCAAAATAGAGAACAGAAATGCTCAGAAGCTGCAGAACAAACTTTGTCAGAGACAGCTTTCCTTGCCCGAAATCTCTGTCATTTGGAGCATGGGATCTCCTGCAGATCTGCAAGTGCTCAGAGTGTGGTTAAAACTGGGATTCCTGTCCTTAGTTCCTTTCTGCCCCAACCCAACCCAAGGAATTGCTGCCCACCAGGGAGCAATCCCTGTGTGAGCCTTGCAGGGCACGTGGGAGCTGGCTGCGTGGTGTGGGCAAGGAACTGTTTTCATGGGAGCTGTTATCTCCTGGATTTCCTTTTCTGTGTTTGCTCAAGCCCTTGGGGTTCATGTTTAACTCAATTGTCTCACTTTTAATGGCTCTGCTGGTGTTTGATACTGGCGAGAGGGAGCTGCTCCCATGGAGTTTGTTTTCCAAAGGAGGAAGCTTGGGTGACTGTGTGGAGATTTAGGGATCAGGGGTCACATTATTATTATTTTATTGTTCTTATTATTATCATAATAATAATCTTTAAAGCCATTATCAAGGCTTATTCCCCTCTCTGCTGCCCCTGGATGTACCCATGGCTGGGCATCCTGATCTCCCAGCATCCTGCCACAGCCTTCCTCATCTTCCAGGAGGGAAGTTTGGGCTCAGGGCTGAGATCAAAGGGCTGGGATCAAAGCAGTTCACCCTTGCCTGGCCTCGTCCTTCCCATCAGTCACCCCCATCCCAAAGTGGGATGCTGGCTCCCACCAACAGATTAGTACCAGTGAGCTCTGGGATGCTCTAAAAATACTGAGAGGAGCAAGCAGGGAGCAAAAAATGGCTGAGATTCAGTGAAATCAAAGGCATAATTAAAATGCACCTCGTGTAAGTGTATTTTTAGGGCCCTACAAAAAGGCTGTAAACCATTGAATTCCCATCAGCACACGAATGTTCCAGTTTAATGGAATCCTGGGGCCTGTGGGGAAGAAGTGAGAGATGCTTAATTGTCAGTGTTTGTGTTTTATTCATGATTGAACATACTTAGCAAGCAAAAACTGATCTGCTGTTGGCTTCTCGCTGCTTGTGTGGCTTTAAGCCTTATTCCAGCCAGAAATTGCCCGGTGTGCTGGAAGGGTCAGTGCTTCCCAGGGTTTGCATGAGCTGTGCATGGAAAAGGGATTACCACCTCCCCTCCCATGGGGAGCTCCGTGCCAGGGCTGCCTTGGGGCACTCAGAGCTTGTGTGGGCTCCAGGGGATCCAGGAAAGAAGAAGAATCCCATGGGGGTGAATCAGGAGCTGCATCCAGGCTGGGAAGTCCCTGAATGCAGGTGTCTGGGTGTTGGGGGTGCCTTGGGACAGAATCTGGATGTTCCCAGCTCCTCCTGCCTCCCCTCGAGCTGTTTGCTGGGCATGGTGCTGCTGGGGCAAAGTCAAGGCAGGAGCCAGACTCCTTCCAGCATCCCTCCAGCACCAGGGACCCTCTGCAGCAGCTGGAATGGCTCCTGGAGTGTGATGAATCCTCTGGGTTTGCCCATGCTGGAGCCTGTTCCTGCAGCTCAGGTGAAATGTGGGGCTAATCCTCCCCCCAGGGACCTGGGCTGGGGGCTGTGAGTCCTTAGGGAGGGCCTGTGGGAGTGAGCCCTTTTCCCGTGGGGTCTCTGTGCAGGTGGAGGAGGGATGAGCTGGCTGGGGCACAGATGTGGCCCCTGCGGGCTCGGGGGGGATCTGGCTCCTTCTGGAGGGGATTTAATCTGTGGTGGAATTGCTGCAGATGGCACGGCCGGAAGGAACGGCGGAACACGGCATGCCAAGGCAGGGTTCCTTATTTTAAACTGCTTCCCTTGCCAGGGAACAAATATGCCTCGCTTCAAAATAATAATTATAAAGCCTGGGAGGAGATCCAGGGAACCCAAAATCCTTCTGTGGGTGTTGGTGCACTGGCAGATGCCCGGCTGGGGGTGTTTGGTGGGAATGTCATCCCAGCAGGTCAGGGCTGGCTCAGGGAGCTGTGCTGGGAGTTGTGCTGTGATTGGAAAAGGGGGAAATGTGTTCTCTGTTACCTTGCACCCCAAGGATGCATCCTGTCCCTGCTGCAGCCAGCCATGTGAAACCTCCAGGAAGGGGAATTGCATCCTGAAATCCACCAAGCAGCAGCCCCCATCCACATCCCACAGTGCCCTGTGCCAGGGATGCCCAGGATGGGCACTGTGCCTGGCATACTGGGAACAGTGGCACTGGTGGGCAGGCTGCTGTCTGATGGGAGGGAAATGCCACTGCCTGCACGTGCTCGGGAGCTGTGCTGCAGTGGGAAGAGCTGGAGCTGCTGGTGTGGAGAGAGCTGCCTGTGCTGCAGGGCTGTCACAGGCCTGGGGCCCAGGGACAGACCCTGGCGTGTCCCAAGGATGGCTGTCACCTGCTGCTGGGACTCTCAGAGTTCTGGCCTGACACCAGCAGTACCACAGTCTGGTTAAGCTGCAGTTTCCACTTGACAGAGCAGGGCAAGAGGGGAAACTGAGGCACACAAGGAGTGACAGGTCACGAGGAGTGCAGGGAGGGCTGGGAACTGTCCCTGACTCTGGCAGGGTGTCCCCCTGCAGACAGCATCCCCCATTCCTGTACCCAACGTGTGTCTTCCTCTCTGCCTCTCTCCAGGCTTCCACGTGATCCCGTCAGTGTCCAGCATCGTCCCCGAGAGCTGCCTGCTCATCGTGGTGGGCCTTCTGGTCGGGGGGCTCATCAAGGGGGTGGGTGAAAAGCCCCCCATCCTCAAGTCGGACATCTTCTTCCTCTTCCTCCTGCCCCCCATCATCCTGGATGCCGGCTACTTCCTGCCCCTGCGCCCCTTCACCGAGAACCTGGGCACCATCCTCATCTTCGCCGTGGTGGGCACGCTCTGGAACGCCTTTTTCCTGGGGGGGCTGATGTACGCCGTGTGCCAGCTGGGCGGGCCCGGCCTCAACCACATCGGCCTGCTGGCCAACCTGCTCTTCGGCAGCATCATCTCGGCCGTGGACCCCGTGGCCGTGCTGGCCGTCTTCGAGGAGATCCACATCAACGAGCTGCTGCACATCCTGGTCTTCGGGGAGTCCCTGCTCAACGACGCCGTCACCGTCGTGAGTGGGGTGGGAGCGTCTCGGGGTGGTGGCAGCTGTCAGGGCCGTCCCAAGGTGCCGGGTGCCTCCTGGCAGCTCCGCTTGGGCCAGACCTTGTCCAGGTGTAAAGCTGAAGATAGAGGCTTAAAGCACTGCAGAGGTGGAGTGTTTCTCTGGGGAGGCTGAGGGCACGTGCCTGGTCAGCCTCTTGGTGCCATGGGCTCTGGGGATCTGCTCTCCTGGCTGGAGCTGCTGCTGTGCCTGTGCCTGTCCTGCCAGGGGAAGCACGAGGGGCTGACCCTGGGGCAGGCAGAGCTGCCCTGTAGCTGCTGCTCCGTCTGTCTCCTCTCACGTGGTCACCCTTGCTGTCTTCCAGCTCCCAGGAGGTGGCAGAGCAGCACATCAGCCATGGCAGGGGGGAGAACTGGAGGGGCTGAAGCCAGGCTGGCAGCCCAGCTGGATCAGCCCTCTGCCCCACTGCAAGCAGCAGCTTTGCAGGGACCTTTGGGAGGTGGGGCCAGGCCTGCTCCCTTTCCAAAGGACATCACTGTCCAGGTGCTGGCTTGGCTGTCAGCGTGGCCTTCTCCTCTCTGCAGAGCTGACCTCTAAACTGACTCCCAACCCACTGCTTTTTCCTGGCTCTTTTCCCATATCCCAGCTGTCCATTCCGGAGCTGGCTGCTCAGCCCCTGCTGACAAGGTTCCTGGTGACAAAGAACACTCTGTCCCACCACGGAGCTTTTTCCAGGCACTTCTCCCCCATTTTTCAGCAGAGGGATGCCTGCAGGGTCTGTGTCCCCACTCTCATCCCTGTGGAATGCTTTTGTCTGCCCCTGCCCCTGTCCCACCCAGGGCCTGGCCCCAGCAGGCAGGAGCTGGCACCTTGCCCTCTCCCTGCCTGCAAGTGCTGCTATTCCTGCAGGATGCCCTAAATCCTGTTTCCCATCCTGACATGTGCTTTAACATTTCTGCAGTGTCTGGGGCTGGGAGAAGGGAGCACAGCCCAGAGTCTTTCCCTCAGGTTTCCCTCAGCTGCAGAAGCCACCTCAAGGGTTTGGGTTCTTCTCTGGGCTGGGCAGAGCAGATGGGGGCTTTTCTCTCCATGGATCTGCCAGGAGTTCCCAGCCTGGATCTATCCTGACCTGCTCATTGAGAAAACAGGAACAGCTTCTGGTTGGTGACCAAAGGCCCTTCTGGCACAGCTGGAGAGCAGAGCTGTCCCAGACACATCTCTGTGTGTCCCTGTGGGCACAGAGGACAGGGAGCTGGTCCCCCCAGTTCTGTGTCTGGCACAGCAAAGCACCAGCAGCTGTTTTTGGCGTGAGTCTTGGTCAAGCACCCAGCTCAGGGTCACCAGGCAGTGACACAGCTCAGCTCAGGTGTGCCACACTCCCAAGGGAGGTCCCTGGGCAGGTCTCCTCTGAGGTGAGGATCCCTTCCCAGAGGAACAGCTTGAACCCTGCTCTCCTTTCTCCCTGCCAGGTCCTGTACCACCTCTTTGAGGAGTTTGCCAGCTTCGAGCAGGTGACCATCTTGGACATCATCCTCGGCTTCCTCAGCTTCTTCGTGGTGTCTCTGGGCGGGGTCCTGGTGGGCGTCATTTACGGGGTGATCGCCGCCTTCACGTCCCGCTTCACCTCGCACATCCGCGTCATCGAGCCCCTCTTCGTGTTCCTCTACAGCTACATGGCCTACCTGTCTGCTGAGCTCTTCCACCTCTCCGGCATCATGGCGTGAGTTGGCAGTGGCAGGGAGGTGCCCTCCTGTCCCCAGGGCCCTGGGGGATTTGTGGGACTGTGTCACCACAGTCTGCTGAGCACAGCGTGCTCACTACAGGCCCAGTGAGGCCCAGGGGTGTTTGGGCTGGGATGTGCAAGGAGGCATACCAAAGAAGTGAGTCTGGGGAGTTGTCCCACAGATCCCGGGGTGCTGGCAGCCTGTTCCTGTTCTCCTGGGCACGCAGGAGCAGGCAGGCCCTGCTGAGCACTCAGGACACCGTGGGTTTGTGCTCCAGCGCTCACTCTTGCCCTGCCAGGGGAAGGAGAAACCTCATGTTGCCTTCTCTGGTGGCCTTGAATATTTGCTGGTGCTTCCCAATGCCTGTCCTGCCCTGGAGTTTGGTGTCACAACACAAAATGCTGCTGCAGGGCCAGGGCCTGGGGCTGTCCCCATGTCCCCATGGCTGCTGAGGGCCCCAACCTCACCCCCAGGCTCATCGCTGCTGGTGTGGTCATGCGGCCCTATGTGGAAGCCAACATCTCCCACAAGTCCCACACCACCATCAAGTATTTCCTCAAGATGTGGAGCAGTGTGAGCGAGACCCTCATCTTCATCTTCCTGGGTGTCTCCACGGTGGCTGGTCATCACTACTGGAACTGGACCTTCGTCATCAGCACGCTGTTCTTCTGCCTCATCGCCAGAGTGCTGGGTGGGTGTCAGTGTGGTGGCAAAGCCCTCAGGGTGCTAAAACAATCATGGCATGGGTTGGGCTGGAAGGGACCTTAAAGCCCATCTCATTCCAGCTGCTACAGGCAGGGACACTTTCCACCATACTGGGTTGCTCCAAGGCCTGTCCAACCTGGCCTTGAGCGGCCATCTGGGTCATGGCAATGGTTTGCCTTGCTGGGGAGGTTGGAGATGCCTGGGTGGCACTGCTGCACCATGGGCACCACCCATGCTGGTGGTTGGTGTTGTGGGGAGATGGGGCTGAGGCCATGGTTGTGCCAGACATGGGGTGGAAGCTGCTCAGGGATGTTGAGATGAGCAGACAGCTCTCACCTGCACCCACGGCCCTGAGGAGCTGCAGGGTGGGCTCTTTGGGCCTGGAGGGGATCCTTGACCACTCCCACAGGACTGTGCTGCTCCCCCAGGTGTCCTTGTCCTCACCTGGTTCATCAACAAGTTCCGGATCGTGAAGCTGACGCCGAAGGACCAGTTCATCATCGCCTACGGGGGCCTGCGGGGAGCCATCGCCTTCTCCCTGGGCTACCTGCTGGACTACAAACACTTCGGCATGAGGGACATGTTCCTCACTGCCATCATCACTGTCATCTTCTTCACCGTCTTCGTGCAGGTTGGTGGCACCCAGGCTGTGCTTTCAGAGGGAAAGGGGGCTCTTCATGGCTGTGGGGAGAGTGGGAAGCCCATCCCCAGCCTCTGTCACTGCCCCGCGTCCCCAAAGCGCTGCACAGTGACACCGACAGCGCCTTGGCTTTGCTGAGCCCATCCCACTCCCAGCCCTGTGCCTTGGGCAGAGGTGTGACCCCCCATCCCCCTCGCCAGGGCATGACCATCCGGCCCCTGGTGGATCTGCTGGCTGTGAAGAAGAAGCAGGAGACGAAGCGCTCCATCAACGAGGAGATCCACACGCAGGTAACGCGCCGCTCCGGCCGCGCCGCGCGCTGCCTTAGCCCTCTGCTCTCTCTGCTTCTGCCACTCCACCTCTGTCACTGGGACCTGCCCCTAAATCAGAGCCCAAGGTAAGGGGGGCAGAGCGAGGCCTCTCCCCTGTCTGTGTCGTCCAGTGCCCGCTCTGACCCAGACCCCCGGTGCCCGTAGAGTCAAGCCCGGTTGTGTGGGTGCATCCTGCCCTCCCAAAGCCCTGGTTTTACACACCCTGAGTGCCCTCCCCATGTGTCAGTGTGGGTGTCAGGGGAGGGAGGGAGAGAGCAAGAGCCTTCCAAGCTGCTCACGCCTTGGACCATCTCTTGCAGTTCTTGGATCACCTTCTGACAGGGATCGAGGATATCTGTGGTCACTACGGGCATCACCACTGGAAGGACAAGTGAGTGGGCAGGTTTGGTGGCTGGGGAGGGGTTTCAGTCACCACCCAGAAAGTTTCACAGCTCTGTGCCAGGCTTTAATGTGCACACACAGACTCACCATGGGGAATTATGGCCCTGGATTGGGAGCAAGTAGGGCTGCAGGGCTGCACCCCTTGGCCACACCACCCACAGCAGGCCCATGGCAGGGTGGGAGCTGCCAGTGGCCAGTCCCTGCAGGAGCTCAGGACCATCCCTAGTGGGCACCAGCAGGTGCTGGGTGTTCTGGAGACACCCTGCCTGGGGAGGGATTCAGGGAAGCGTGGTCTGAGCTGTGCTGGTGACCCAGCAGTGAGCCCAGCAGTGCTGTCCTGGGCAGGGCTGGAGAGTGGGAGTGGGGAGTGGAGAGTGGGAGTGGGATTAGGAGTGGGGCTGGGGCCAGGGCTGAGCTGTGGCTGCTCCTCCCCTCCTGTGCCACGCTGCGGGAAGGCTGAACCGCTTCAACAAGAAGTATGTGAAGAAGTGCCTGATCGCAGGGGAGCGCTCCAAGGAGCCCCAGCTCATCGCCTTCTACCACAAGATGGAGATGAAGCAGGCCATCGAGCTGGTGGAGAGCGGGGGCATCGGCAAGATCCCCTCTGCAGTCTCCACCGTCTCCATCCAGTGAGTTCCCTGCCCTGGGCACCCTCCCGTGGGTGCTCCCTGCTGGTGGCCACAGGGCAAGCAGCCCTTGGGTGCTGCGTGGCCACGGTGTGTGGCTCTGAATCCTGTCTGTCCGTGCAGGAACATCAACCCCCAGACCCTCCCTTTGGAGCGTGTCCTTCCAGCTCTGTCCAAGGACAAGGAGGAGGAGATCCGGAAAATCCTCCGCACAAACCTGCAGAAAACCAGGCAGAGGGTGAGGTGTCCCCTGGCACTGTGCATGTCTCCTGTGCCACACTGGGAGTGGCAGGGACACTGCCCAGCAGCCCTCAGCTGGGCCCTTCACCCCTGCTGCCCCTGCCCTTGCCCTGTGCTCCTGGCCTGACTCTTCTTCCCCAGGAGGCTTTTCCTCCTGGGATGGTGCTGGGATAGTCTGAGGGGCAGGCTGATTTGGTCAGTGGCTGAGCCCAGCCTTTAAACCCTCGTTGGGCCAGGGTGGGTCAGGGTCAGGCATCCCGTGGTGGCACACAAGGGATGAGCCACGAGCCTGCCTGGACCTGCTCTGCACTGGTGGCTGTTCCATCCATCTCCAGCAAGAATGGGGTTGTGACCTTTCTCTCCCTGTCCGTGTGGGGTTTTAACCCTTCTCCTTCTCTCGGGCTCTCTTTCCAGCTGCGATCCTACAACCGGCACACGCTGGTGGCTGACCCCTACGAGGAAGCCTGGAACCAGATGCTCCTGAGGAGGCAGAAGGCCCGGCAGCTGGAGCAGAAGGTGCTGGGGGAACACCAGGGCTGGGCAGGATGGGGGCCAGGGAGAAGGGAGGGGACTGAGGTTTGGGTGACAGAGGTGACCCCAAGCCTTGGGGGTCCTGTGATTGCCCCACGCCCCAAGCAAGTCCCTGGAGTGTGGCTGGGAGGATCTGTGTCCATGTTCTCTGCATCCCACTGCTGCTCCCTGCCCATCCCTGTGCCCAGTCCCCTGCCCATCCCTGTGCCCAGTCCCCTGCCCAACCCTCTGCCCAGTTCCCTGCCCATCCATCCCTGTGCCCAGTCCCCTACCCATCTCTGTGCCCACTCCCCTACCCATCCCTGTGCCCACTCCCCTGCCCATCCCTGTGCCCAGTTCCCTGCCCATCCCTGTTCCCTGTTCCTTGCCCATCCCCATGCCCAGTTCCCTGCCCATCCATCCCTGTTCCCAGTCTCCTGCCCATCCCTGTGCCCACTCCCCTGCCCATCCCTGTGCCCATTCCCTGCCTGCCCTCCCTGCCTGCCCTGGCCACGCCGGTGACGGTGCCCTGCTCCCGTTGCAGATGAACAATTACCTGACGGTGCCGGCGCACAGGGTGGACTCTCCCACCATGTCCCGGGCTCGCATCGGCTCAGGTAGGTGGGAGGGGCTGCAGGAGGAGTGGCACTGCCAGCTCCCGGAGCCCTTGGAGCTGTGCTGCACCTCCTCAGCTCCCTGTGGCTCTCCAGCTCCATCCCCGAGCCCAGTTTGTCCATCGCACATTTGCTTTGGCACCCTCGTGTCCTGCGTGTCCCCTCCCTCTCCGGGGACAGGGTGTCGGGCTGTGCCGCGGCTGCGGAGCCGGCGGTTCATCAGCAGAGGGCAGCTTCGCCCTTCCCGATGGAGCCGGACTGCCGGCAGCTCCAGCTGGGCTGTGGGAGGGAAAAGGAATTACACAGCTGAATTGGGAATCAGCCAGACAGCCCAGGCACCCCGGCCCCACACAAACATCTGGGGTGCATCACCGGGGGTCCCTGAGACCCCCCCCTTCCCTGCCTGACCCCTCTGTGCCCCCCAGACCCGCTGGCCTACGAGCCCAAGGAGGACTCGGAGAACCTGCCCATCATCACCATCGACCCGGCCTCGCCGCAGTCCCCCGAGTCCGTGGACCTGATGAGCGAGGAGCCCAAGGGCTGCAGCGGCCTCCCACCCTCGCCCGAGGAGGATGAGGAGGGGCTGGTGATGCGGGTGAAGGAGCCTTCCTCGCCGGGGACTGACGACGTCTTCACCCCGGGCACCAGCGACAGCCCCAGCAACCAGCGGATGCTGCGGTGCCTGAGCGACCCCGGCCCGCGGCCCGAGCCCGAGGAGGGGGAGCCCTTCATCCCCAAGGGGGAGTAGCTGCTGGCACAAAGCCTCCAAATCGTTTCTCTCTCTCTGTTCATTCATTCGTTCTTTGCTCTCCGTTTTGGTTTCTTGTCACTACACACTGGGTTCAGGAAGGGGAGAGTGTCCTGGATGGACTGGGATTGCCAGGACAGCTCTGCCCAGCGAGCCCTGGGCTGGCCCCAGTGAGCAGGGAAGGAGCCCTGGCATGCCCCGGGCTCCTTGTGCTGCGTGGCCTGGGGGTGATGGACAATTTTCCGCCCGGGATTGGGATTTGCAGGTGCCTCACAGCCCCCGCGGGGCTCTCCCAGAGGTGCCCACCCACTCAGGACCTGCGGCCGGCTCTGACCAGGGGTCTCCACACTCACTCCCATGGCACCGCTTCCCCTCTCCCCTCTTGTGCTTTCTTGCCCCCTCGCCTTGCTCCGGAGCGGAGAGATGGGACAGCAGGAGCTGTCACCGGGGCTGGCACACACAGACACGCACACAGACACGCACACAGACACACAGACACACACACACACTCCCCCTGCGCCCTCCCCGGGCTCCTGCCGCTGCTCCCTCGCCTTGGCAGCTTCCCCGTGGGACCGGCTGTGCCTGGGGTCCTCCCTCCTGGCCTCACATTTCATGCCAGGTCTTTTCAAAAAAATATTCTAGAGCCATGCAGGGGGGAAGTTGGGACCCCCCTCGCTTTGAGCAGCCTCTCCATCCCTCCTGGAACTGCTGTCACCTGTCCCCATGGGGACCCTCTGCCAGCCTCGCCCCGTGCCAGCGCGGCAGCGGCTGCTCCTTAACCAAAGACAGGCCCGGGGTGTGCCAGGGGGGATTTTTTGTCCCCCTGCCAGCAAGAGCAGCTGGAGCAGAGCCAAGTGCCAGCTCCCCCAGCGTGGGGACACCTTGGACCAGGAAGGTTGGCAGCAAGGGGACGACTGGGGGTGCCGGGGATCCTGGAAGAACCCATCTGTCCCCAAGGCTTGGGAGGGATCACTGGGTGTTCTGGTGACTTGCAGCCCTCCCCAGGCTCAGGGGTGTCCTGTGTCTGTCACCTTGTCCCCCTGCCATGTGCCACGGGTGCCACGGGGTGCTCACCACCCCCTCCCCGGGGACCCCGGCCGCTGTCCCCTCCCCGTGCCGTGCCTTGCCACGCTCTGCCCCGCTGCCTTGGTGGGCTCCTGTCCCACATCCCACCCGCTGCCCACCCCGCTGGGACCCCCAGGTCCGGCGTCGCCCACGCCGCTGCCTGCGCCTGCCTGCTGCTCTGCTCTGTTTCCAGGAGGAAAAAAAAAAAGCAATGGAAATTCTCTTGTATAAAAAGGAAAGAAAAAAAACCAAACCCACATGTAAAGAGATTCTTGGTTTTTATCATAAATATTCTAATAAATTAATGTTAATTTTTAGTGGGGGTTTCTCCAGCTGTTCGGAATCCTGCCGCTGCCGCACGGTCCCGGCTGTCCCAGAGGAACAAGGTGGCTGGGACACTTCATTCCAATCGCTGGCATGGAGAGTTTGCCTCTCGCCCTCCTGCCTGGCTCAGGGACAGCTGGAGCCCCTCCCAAGGGGACATTTTAAGCCGTTCCCAGCTTTGGCAAAGAGAGGCTCAAGAGAGCCCGGGCTCCCAAATCCCGCCCTGGAGCTGCGTGGGTGTCGGGGTGTGCAGGGAGGGTCTCCCGGGGGAGAGTCCTTTTCCAGGGGGATGGATCACCCGGCACAGCCCCGGGATGCCGGCCCCGTGTCCCAGCACGGCTCTGCCCGTCCCCACCCCGGTGTGTTGTCCCCAGGGAGAAAGGGCCAGCACCTGCCTTGTGCTGGCACTGCAGCAGGGCTTGGGGGGTAAAGGTTCCATCGCCAGGGGAGGGGACTTGGGAACTTCTGAGCTCTGTGGTTTTCGTCCTGGGTTTCCCTCCCAGAGGAGCCAGTTCCCACCAGCATCCCGGGACTGCCCAGAGGGGAGAGGCTCCAGGCAGCGCCCGGCTGAGGAGCAGCACCACAACCCCAAAATCCCCAGGATCCTCTCAGATCCTCCCAGCAGAGTCCCCGCTGCAGGGCAGGCGTGTCCCAGCCCCTCGCTGCGGGGAATTGCGATGGGAATGCGCTCCACGGCTGCAAAGCAAAGCGCTGAGCCGGGAGCCGTGACTCAGCCCGCGGCCATCACTCACCTGCCCAAAATACCTGAACGCCAGGGTCCCCCCCCGGGGCGGGACTCGGCTGGGTCACCCCGCTGCAGGGGGGCCCCGAGGGCTCCCTGGGCAGGAGGAGGTGGCCAGGGATGTGTGACAGGTGGTGCCACTTTGGTGGGTGCCACCCTTGCGTCCCACGCAGGGTCTGGGGTAGTTTGTCCACTGCCCACCCCGGACAATGCCCACCCAAACACTGCCCACCCAAACACTGCCCACCCAAACACTTCCCACCCTGACACTGCCCACCCAAACACTGCCCACCCCAAACAAACACTGCCCACCGCACACTGCCCACCCCGAACACTGCCCACCCAAACACTGCCCATCCCAAACATTGCCCACCCTGACACTGCCCACCCCAACACTGCCCACTCTGACTCTGCCCACCCCGGACACGGAGGGAGCAGCAGGAGCTCAGCAGCCCCGGGCAGTGCCCAGGTAATTCACCTGCCCACGTGCTGGGCAGCATCACCTGCAGCCTGATTTCAGTCATACCTTTAGAGCGAGAACTCCCCAAACCGAGGCATTTCCAGGATATTCTTGTTTCTGCCTCAAAGAGTGAGTAACTTTTTTTAATGAGGGAGGGCTAATGATGCCTGCGGGGCTGGGCTGTCACTGCTGAGCCACCACCAAAGCACTCTCAGGGCTGGGGCCGGGGGTGGAGGGGTCCCAGCGTGTCCCCACAGCTCTGGCTGTGATGTCTTTTCCCTGTGTGCACCCCCCGTGCCCCATATCCCCCTCTCCCTCCCAAAGCACCTTTGGGCCTTGGTGGTGGCACCAAGAACAGGGAGAAAAGGGGCCCTGAGCAGGATGACCTTGTCCTTCCACGTGAGTTCCACCGTGTTTATGCCCTTCCACAGCCCCCATCCATCAGGGTTAAAGATCTGCTGCCTCTGCAGCTGCAGGAAACTGCCCCGGCCAGGAGATGGGCTTTCCCGTGCCTCAGTTTCCCTCTGTGGTCCAGTGGGTGGCAGGAGGGGAGTGACCGTCCCCATTGTCCCAGCAGGCCCCGAGAGCCCTGGAAGCACCCGTGAAATCCCTGCCCGAGTCACGGCTCCGGGCTCAGAGCCGAGCTCCGGGCTGTCCCGGAGCTGCCACCACCCTCAGGGCACTCAGGTGCCACCCGGGGCCCAAAAACCTGCAGCGCAGGGAGCGGCTGTGCTCCCTGCCAGCCCCAGATTAGTGGCACTGAGATGGGTCATCCCTGCCACGGCTGTAAAGGCACAAGCCACGCCAAGAAAAACAGCACATGGTGTCACCGGAGAGCCACCGAGCCTGGGGACACACAGGCCATGCTGCCGGGGCACAGGGATGTCCCCAGGCAGTGACACCCCCGGGGAGATTGGAGGGAAGGCACATCAGTGCTGGGGCCGCGTTGCTGCCGTGTCCCTGTCCCCAGCCTGGCGGTGTTGTGTCCCCCGACTCCCCGGGCAGCATTTTGCAGCAGCCAGGGGAGGTGACAGGTGCCATTCCCGAGCTCTGTGTCACCTGCAGTAATGACACCCTGCATCCCTTTCATCTCAGGGCCTCCCGGGCCGCCCCTCTCCGGCAGCATCACTCATCATCCCTTCCAGGATGGGATGTGGCCGGCTCTGGGGGTCCAGCGTGGTGACACAGGGATGCCAGGCTGACATCAGAGAGTGGCAGCGCAGTGACACCCCTCATGCCACGCAGTGGGTGCTCACAATGCCCCTCGTGCCACATCCAGCCTTGCTGCGGCCAGCAGGGGGAAAACACCCCTTTGGATGGGCACACCGCTGGTGGCACTGCCCCAGGGAGGCCAGCGAGCCGCGGTGGCACCTCTGGCACGGGCTGTGGGGCGCGAGCGGGGCTGGACAGCGAGCTCCAGGGCCTGGGAGGCGTCCAGGAGCTCTGTTTGCCGAGGGAGGATTGGGACGAGGCCATGGAGACGGACTCCACCTCCTAAACCCACAGCGGGCACGTGGACAGGGGCATGAGCGTGGGGATGGCAGCGTGGGCGTGGGGACGGTGACGAGCGTGGGGACAGCAGCAGCTGCGCTGGGGACAGCGATCGCCTGGCGACGGCGGCTTTTGTGCACGGGGATGGCTGCACTCTGCCTGGGGACACTTTGGGACAGCGTGGGGACACTTTGGGATAGCGTGGGGACACTTTGGGACAGCATGGGGACACTTTGTGCCATCATGGGGGACACTTTGTGCCATCGTGGGGACACTTTGTGCCAGCGTGGGGCGGCCACGCACAGCGGTGCCCGCACGGTGACAGCCGCTGCGGGCACGGGGACAGGGCCAGCCCGGGACACGGCTGACGTGAGCGCGGTGGCGGTGCCGGGGAAGCAGCGCTGCGGCTCCCCCGGGGCGGCGGGTGACGTTGGTGGCTCCGGGAGCAGGGCTTGGTCCCTGCTGCTTGCTCAGGGAGTTGGCACACGCCCTGCTTAATGCCGAGTGGGACGGAGCCGTCCCACGCGAGTCACGCAGTCCCCGCGGTGCCTTCCCCTGCAGGCTGGGAGATTCTCACCCACTGCCCCGCTGCCGGCCGCTCCCTGCCCCTGTGCCCCCGTTCCCCTCTGGCCGGGCTCGCGGCGCTGCCCAGGGGGCTCAGCTGGGGTGGGGGGTCCCTCTCTGCCCCCCGTGCTCCTTCCCGTGCCCCGGCACCGGGCTGGCCCCGCTCCGATTCCCCGGGCACGGAGCAGGGTCCGCCGGGCATCCCCGGGGAGCTGCGACCCCAAATCCGTGCGGCAAGGGTGGGGAGGGGGGTCCCGGCTTCCCGAGCCGCCCCCCTGCCCAGCCCTGTCCCACCCCTTGTGGCCAAAGGGGCTCCGCCACCCCCGTGCCACCCCCGGGAGGCAGGATCCGCCCGCGTTTCACCCCGGGACGATGATTATTCCTTAATTGCCCACAAAACAAACGAATAAAGGCCGGGCTGGCCCTGGCTGAGCTGGGAGGAAGCGGCCCGGGTGCCGTTCCCGGCGCCGGGCTCGCTCCCGGGTTCATCCCGGTGATGCACGGCACCGAGGGATCCCCGGGCCCGGCCGAGCTTTCCTGCGGAGCCGGCAGCGCCTCTGCCCCCGGGCCCGGGCACCCAGCCCAGCCCAGAGGGGTCTGCAGCCCCCTGGCCCCGCTGGATCCCCCCGGGGCTGCCGCAGCCCGGGGGTGCTCAGCCCCCTCAGCCCTTCCTCCGGCTGGAGCCATCCCAAAGCCCTTCGGCCCCTCTCAGCCTCTTGGGAACCCTCCCTGACCCAGCTTTTCCTCCAGCGCCGTCAGAAGGGTTCTGCAATGAGAGGCAGCTGCCTGATTTTTCCATCAATTTTCCTAATTTTTGATCAATTTCTCATCATTTTTCATTCCTCGGGAAATCGCTTCCCAGCAGGGCTCCCCTTGTCCTGTGCCCAGCTGGGAGCCGCAGGGGCAGCACCGGGAGCAGCTTTTTTTGGAGTCACACGGTGCCACGGGCAGGAGCAGCGAGCAAAGCACCGCAGCAGGAGCAGCACCCCAGCGGGCAGCCCCCCGGAGCCCCCCGGGCTGTCAGTGCCCCGGGGAACGGGGAGGATTTCAGAGGCAATCAGGGCTCCACTTCCCTCCTCTCCCCTCCAACCCCAGCTGTGGGTGCTCCTGAGCATCCCAGTTCCCCCAGTTCCTCTTTCTGCTGCAGCTCCCAGCAGCAAACCCCTGGGATGTGGCAGATCCTCCAGACAGACCTGGCACCGGGAAGAGCCCTGCGGTGCCTGCCCGCAGGGGGAGAGCCCCGGGCTGGATGCTCGAGAGTTTTCAGGGCAGTTCTTGCAATAAAACCCCGCCAGGGTGTAAAAAATAATCATGAAAAATGATTAATGATGAGAAATTGATCAAAAAATAATCAGCCGTGGCTCATCTCCTAGCGGGCTCTGGCTTGTGAGGGTGGATCCCAGCCCCGAGCAGGAGCGGGAGTGGCAGTGCAGGAGTGGGGCTGGGGTCGCTCTGTGCCCCCCAGGACCCCGGCTCAGCGGGGATTCCCTGCTGGAATCGTCTGCGGGGAGAAATGAGCCGGGAATGGCTGGGATGGAAGGAAACGGGGCTCAGGGGCTGGGGACACGCCTGTCCCCAAGGGGCGGTGGCCGGGCTGGGGCTGGCCCTGAGCTCCCGAAGCTCTGTCACCCCAGGGAGGGACCACAGCTGGCACATGGGGACAGGGGACAGGGCCTGGGGGAGCTGGGCGGGCCAGGATGGGGACACTGAGCTGTGCGGGGACAGACCACGGGCTGCCAGACCGCGGGACATCGCTGCAGGGAGAGCCAGCCTGCAGGGCACCGATGGGCACCGGATCCCGGGGCACCTGGGGGGCAGCAGGGGCACCACCGGCACACCACCGGGGACACCACCGGGACACCAGGGTATGAATGGGGCACGCCTGCAGGGCACCGATGGGCACCGGATCCCGGGGCACCTGGGGGGCAGCAGGGGTACCACCGGGACACCCCCGGGGCACCACCGGGGCACCCCCGGGACACCAGGGTATGAATGGGGCATCAGGGGGCATCGCTGGGGCATCAGTGGCACGTCAAAGGGCACCAAGGGCGTACCCAAGGGCGGCAATGGGGCACCGAAGGGAACCTGCAGGACATCCGAGGGCACCCGTGTGGCACGAGTGTCACTCAGCAGGACACCAAGGCCGTCGCTGCTGTCCCACGGGATGGGCATCAGAAAGGTTATGACTGGTACTAAACTCAAGACAGCATTTCATTCAGCAACAAACTTTTTTTTTTTTTCTTTTTTTTTTTGCTGTCACCCCCCATTTTTAAGTTTTCCTTCCCCTCCGCACCGGCACTTCCGGCTGGTTTCCGGGCGCTTTCCGGGCGAGCGGCTCCGGCGGCGGCGGGGGCGATGCTGGAGGCGGCGGCGGGGGCCGCTGCGGGCGGCGCGGAGCAGCGCGGCAGCCGCTTCAGCGTCCTGACGTGGGAGCAGGTGCAGCGGCTGGACCAGATCCTGGGCGAGGCCGTGCCCATCCACGGCCGCGGCAACTTCCCCACGCTGTCGGTGCGGCCGCGCACCATCGTGCAGGTGAGGGGAGCCGTGAGGGGGCCGAGAGGGGAGCCGTGAGGGGGCCGTGAAGGAGCCACGGCCGCGCACCATCGTGCAGGTGAGGGGAGCCGTGAGGGGAGCCCTGAGGGGGCCGTGAGGGCTGCGGGCCCCGCTGGACTCTGCCCCGCTCCTGCGGGGCTCAGGGAGAAAATAAAAGTGCTGAGGCGGCGATAAGCGGCCCGGCGGGCCCCGAGCCAGCCCGGCCTGCCCCGCCGGGCCCGGGGCACCGCGAGCCGCTGGATGGTTGGGGTGGAAGGGGCCTGAACATCGGGCCTGAGGGAGCCGGGCACGGCTCCGCACGGGAAGCCCGGAGATCCCGCTGGGTGTCTGCAAATGCTGCCTGGCTCCTGCCAGGCCTGGAATTCGGGAAAAGCGCTCAGGCTGGCACCTTCTGCTGGAGCAGCTCGCTCCGAGCCTGGCCTGGCTGCTCCAGAGGGGTTAGAAGTTTTGGGGCGCTGGTCCCCATCGTGCCGGGGTGCAGTGTGCTCGCTGCCACTCCGGGGGTCCTGCTGGGGCTGGTCCTGCCAGCAGCAACGCCCGGAGCTGCACGGACCCTCCCGAGCAGCTCACCCCATCCCTGGAGCTGCTGCAGCTTGTGCCACAGATCCTGCTGAGCTTCTCCCCTCTTACCTTGTGCTACTCTCTTTGAGCTCGTTTGTTGCTCTTAAAAGCAGTGAAATGTGTGTGGCCAGGGCAAAAGTAGCTTTTTTTGGAGCTGCTTCCACGAAATGGCTTCGTGCTGGGGGACATGTTGGGCTCGTGTTGGAAGAGGCAGAGTTATTAATTCAAAGGCCGGATCAAATGTCCGTGTCCTTTGATTTCTGGGCACCCCGGCTGAATTCTCCAGAGCCTGCCCGAGACTTCGGCTCGTTCACGAGCTCCTCTTAGTTTAACCATCAAGTAATAACCGTGTTTAATATTAAACTAACAATGTAGCTCGAATGAGCTGATGCATATTCATATTTGGGAGGCGACTTCATTCCTCAGTAATGACTCATCAAATGTAAAATCGGGCATGTTGGCTTCTAATTAAAAAGCCTATTCACGGCGCTAAGACCCAGCTGGCTTTCACAATAACCGGGATTTTGGAGCCTCAGCTGCTTGAGAAATAGTTAGAGTTAAGCCTGGGAGACGGAAAGGTGACATTTGAAAGGCTGCTCTGGGATTCCTCGCGTTGCTGACAGCGCTGGCTCTTGGCTGCTTTGGGCAGGACGGCTCAGATAAAGGCTGCCCTCGGCCGGGGCAGCACCGAGCACTGCAGCAGCTCTCCCTCGCTGCCCAGAGGATGCTGCCAGCAGCAGCCTCCAGCACGGGGTAGCTGAGGGCTGTAATTGTGCCCAGAGCCTGTGTTTAGGGCTGACTAAGCTGGAACAAGTAACCCAAAAGGCAGTTATTTTTCCTGTTGTTGTTGTTGTGGGAGCTGCGAGGCGCAGGTCAGGACGCAGCAGGATTTGCTCCTGCCTGGCTGTCACACTCAATTATCCCAACCACACGGAAGGTGAGCTGCTGTTTTGGGAAGCAGGTCAGCAGCTGCCTAACCCTGGAAATATCCAGCCCTCTGGGGGAAAATGCAGCCCTGAACCCACAGCCTGCAGCCAGGGGGGACGAGCTCCAAGTGAAGGCTGGTGGGTGGAAGCTCCCAGGGAATGGCAGAGCGCTCTGCTCCCTGCTGCTCAGCAGGTTGGAGACTTCTGGAATGGTTTGGGACAATGCTGACTCGGGCAATTGGGTCTTTCCCCTGTTTTCTGAATGTATCTCACACAGACAGACTGGGGAACTTGAGTAAACCTGGAGCCTGTGGCTCTGGAGTGCTGCAGGTCCTGAGCCGTGCCCAGAAAGGGGTTAAGCAGGTGTTCTTTGGGGTTAGGAAATTAATCTGGAACGAGATCTTCTCCAAGCACTGGGCCCAGCTCTGCACTAAGGCTTTGTGACCTATATCTTGTCTCTCTAAGCCTGAGAGCACAGGACTCTTGGCCTGCACGAGCAGAGCTGGAGCTGTGCCCTGGGTGAGTGACTCCAGCTGGCAGCAGGGGCAGGCCAGCAGCTCCCCTGGGTGATGTTTGCTCATTTGGGGCAACAGCCCTGCGTGTCTTCCAGGAGCAGCTCCGTCTTTTCAGACTGTCTGCCCTGGAAAACAGCTTCTCTCACTGCCTGGGCTGGTGTGGCCTGGGCTCCCAGGGGTGAGCAGCCCCTGGTGACTGCTGCCTGACATGTGACTGTCACCACGGCCTTGGCGAGGAGCCCTGCTGCCCTTCCAGCCAGAGCAGGGGTGCCTCATGTCAGGAGAGAGGGGAAGCACCAGCAGGGAAGCTGCCTCGCGAGCCTTGACAGCCTCCCAGGTGTGCAAACAGCAGAGGGTTGGTTCTGGGATGATTTTGGGAAGGCAGCAGAACGTGCTGGTGGCCCTTGGTGCAGTCACTGAGGGCCTGGGGTGTGACCAGGGTTCCATGCTGCCAGCCCTGACCTTTTGTGTGTTCTTCCTTCCAAACAAAACGCATGGAGAGGTGATTTTACTGCTGCTGGGACCAGATCTGCAACACTTCTGATCTCCCCAAGAGCTGCTCAGGCCCAGGGCAGCCAAGAGGGTTTGGCCCTTGTGATGGAGCTTTGAGTTGAAATTCACACTTTGGGCAGCCGAAATGCAGAGTCTGTGGGGCCTCTCAAACTAGGGCAGGCTCACAGGGCCGAAGGGCCCAGTCAGACTGGCTTTTGGTGATCCAATTTGTCCATTTGTGTCCCAAGCTTCGGCTCTTTCAAGCCACGGCCTTGCTCTAGGCTGGCTGGTTGGGACTGGCAGGAAAATGGGAAATGGCTGGAGGGGAACACGAAAGCAGGATGAGGATGAGACGTGGGAAGAGCTTCTGCTGGGAGGTGTAAACCTAATCTTCCTGGGATCTTTGAGCTGAGTTAAACTCAAATTATAAGCTGGTGTCCAGATAGTTTATTTTATGGTCTTGGGGGTTATTTTAGCCTCCTGCTTGTTAAGTAATCAGGCAGGTGATTCAGCTTCCCAGTAAATGAACAAAGCTTTGGAGGGGCTGCTGGGTGTGCCAGGACTGAGCAGGCAGCATTAAAATCACTGGAGTAACACCCGTGAGATGAAAGCTGCCTCTTGTGCTTGATAGCACGCCAAGCTCAGCACGAAGCTCTGACACACTGGAAATTGTTAGGATACACTTACCAGTTGGGACATGAACTTGCATACGCCTGGCTGGGGCTTTTGAGCTGCTCTGGCATCTTGATTTGCCTTTAATGAATCTTGACAGGCCAAAGGGATGGCTAAAAGGAGTGAGCCACCCTGATGAAATCCACAGGGACTGCTGCAGACTGTGCTGCCACCTCCTCTTTGGGGTCACTTTGGGGTCGGCTGCTCTTGGCTTGGTCACTGGAGCTGGGAGGGGATGTAGAGGGCAGGGACCACCCCAAAAAATGGGGTCAGGAAGGCTCTCCAGGCCAGAGTGGGGAAGGCAGGGAGAGCAGACCCTGCACTGGAAGCAGAGCAGCTGATCATGTGCAGTCAGATCTCTAATGCCAGGAGTCAGTAAAGGAGAGCTGCTGGCAGGTCTGGGGATGCTTTCCAAAGTGACCTATTTCCAATGGATTAGCTTTTTATTTTACTGTCTTGCACTGGAGTGACCCACATAAGCGCTGGGAGCGCTCCCGCTGTCCCCAGGCTGCTCCAAGAACTCCCTCCTGCCTCTCACTGACTCTGTCTCTGTCTCAGGTTGTCCGAAGCCGCCTGGAGAAGAAGGGAATCCCAGTGCACAACGTCAGGCTGAACGGCTCAGCAGCCAGTCACGTCCTCCACCAGGACAGTGGCTTGGGCTACAAGGACCTGGACCTCATCTTCGGCGTGGATCTGAAGACCGAGGACGTTTTCCAGCTGGTTAAAGATGTGGTCATGGATTGCCTGCTTGACTTCCTCCCCGAAGGAGTCAACAAGGACAAGATCACGCCCGTGACCCTGAAGGAGGCCTACGTGCAGAAGCTGGTGAAGGTGTGCAACGAGACCGACCGCTGGAGCCTCATCTCGCTCTCCAACAACAGCGGCAAGAACGTGGAGCTCAAGTTCGTGGACTCCCTGCGCCGCCAGTTCGAGTTCAGCGTGGACTCCTTCCAGATCATCCTGGACTCGCTCCTGCTCTTCGGGGAGTGCTCGGAGAACCCCATGGCCGAGAACTTCCACCCCACGGTCACCGGGGAGAGCATGTACGGGGACTTCGAGGAGGCCATGGAGCACCTGCGGCAGCGCGTCATCGCCACGCGCAACCCCGAGGAGATCCGGGGCGGGGGGCTCCTCAAGTACTGCAACCTCCTGGTCAGGGGCTTCAAGCCCAAGTCCGAGGTGGATATGAAGGCCCTGCAGAGGTACATGTGCTCCAGGTTTTTCATAGACTTCTCTGACATCGGCGAGCAGCTGAGGAAGCTGGAGTGTTACCTGCAGAGCCACTTTGTGGGCATGGAGAGCAACAGATATGACTATTTGATGACCCTGCACAGGGTGGTCAACGAGAGCACGGTCTGCCTCATGGGACACGAGAGGAGGCAGACCCTGAACCTCATTGCCATGCTGGCTGTGAGGGTCCTGGCTGAGCAGAACATCATCCCCACCGTCACAAACGTTACCTGCTTCTACCAGCCAGCCCCTTATGTCAGTGAAATAAACTTCAACTACTACGTGACCCATGTGCAGCCCTTCCTGCCTTGCAATCAGTCCTACCCCACGTGGCTTCCCTGTAACTGAGCCAGGACAAACTCCAGGGTCTGTCCTCCAAGGTATTTCCTTGCCTTGGGGGGGTTGGGAGGGTGGGGAGGGGGAACAAAATAAAACCTACCAACCTTCCTAGAACTGCAACAAAAGGAAACTTCCTGGACTCTGGCTTGAGTGTCTCGTTCCTGGGGTTGTTGGAACGAGCCTTGTCTGCTGTACACTGTGATGGGAAGTGCAGTGTTATGGGAATGACTCCTTATGGAATTGTGGAGGCAATGGGGTGGGTGGGGTGTGTGAGGGGAGACTGTAGAATTACGCTAAGGTAGAGCTGCACTGCCCTGAAATGGATCTGAATTGTGGATTTTTTTGGTTTTTTTTTTTAGTGCAGGAGGTGTTATGGGTGTGCAAACTTGTGGTTTCTGCCAAGAGAAGCCAGGGTGGCTAATTCCTTTGAAGGACCAAAGAATCCTGTTTAAGTGCCTGTAACAATACAAACACAACTGTACTGTAAACCTTTATTATTTTTTGCGGGGGCTGATGGCCCAGAGCTTTAGTGGGGAATGTCTGAAGAGGAAAATGTTTCTGTCGTGGGTGGGGAGGGTCGCAAGATCATTTCTTATCCTGGCTGAGGCCAGAGCAGGTTCTGTGTCGCTGAGGGGTTTGGGCATGGCTTGCTGCCCGTGAAGGACCAGCTGGAGCCAAGAGCTGCCAAAGTGGGGCTGCACAACCCAGGGGCTGGAATGGCTGCGTGGAAATGCCTGAAACTGGGAGCACTGGGGAGGGGGGAGTGTGTGGTGGGAGATGCTGTGCAGGGCTCGCTGGAAGAAAGGCAGCAGGGACCTGCACATGGATCTCCTCAAGCTCCCAAGTCTGCAGTGCCAAAATGTAGTAGAGTTCCTAAATGATGAGGCAGATGATTTGTCCAGGAGCCTGCCCCAGGCTGCCATACCTAATCCTGTATTTTCTAGGGGAATTTGAAATGCTGCTCTTCCGAATTTTTTTTTTTTTGACATGCAGTGTGATTTTAATGCACAAAGCCACAGGCCAGCTGGGCCATGGGGAAGGTGAGGCTTGTCCTTTGAAGCACAAACCATCCAGGTCACTGGTCAGTCATTTCCAGCTATTGTTGTGTCCTCCAGGGGGGTGGACAGACCTCTTCCATGCTGGAGATCATCCCTTGGGCAGGTCCTGTCTCCAAAACAGCCCATTCCCAGCTCTGTGATTCCCTGTGGGAGCCACTGGTAGCATTTGAAATTCATTCTCTAGCTAGAAATGGAGCCTGGGGGCGGAAGGGGGGATGAGGTTAGTCGGCCTTAGGGGAAAAAAATGTCTTCTGAACAGACCCTCAGGTGTTTGGAGGGTTTGGCTCTCTCAGTCCAACGTGGCTTTGAAGCTGTTGAGTGTCCTGAGCACAAGAGTTTTTCACGGGGGTGCCTGGGCTGCCCTGCCCGCAGAGATCTCAGGTTTCAGAGGGCGGGCAGCAGGCATTCCCTAGGGATGCTGCTCGGGATCACCGCGGCTGCCTGGTGCTGCCTCCGAGGCTGACCTACTCCAGTGCTTTACAAACTTGTGGTTTTTTTGGTGTTTTTTTTTTTTGTTTTTGTGACAAAACTGTAATAGCCGGGCAGATTGAAATAAAGACTAGATCCTTGGAATGTGTATAGCCAGATTGGTACCTTTTTTGGGGTAGGGGCAATGTGGATGGGCAGTAAGGGGGGTGGGGGTGGCTCTTCCACCTGGCATCAGCTGCAGCTGGCCCAGCTCTGCTCCCTGAGCTTGTTGCAGGTTTTGGCTGCCCCTGCAGCTCAGCTCTGCCTTCATGGCAGTCCCAGCTCCCCAGAGCCTCATCCCTGTGCTGGGAGCTTGGCATTTCCCATGCAAGGTAAAACTGATTTAGGGCTGCTTTTGGGAGCCTAACTGTGCCACTCCCGTGGCTTCCAGGAACATGAGTTTTTTTTTCCTTGCATTTGAAATGGAACATAGATGCCGTGTAGCATGTTTTTTACAGGCTGCTCCTACCCACAGACACAATACACTGAGATTCCCTCCTTCCCTTTGAGATGTCCAACAGATCCCCTACAGCCAGCAGCTCCACAGGGCGACCTACCATTGAGATAGCACTTTGGATTTGTGGATTGTGTGTGGTGGGACTCTTGTGAGTGGCTTGAACCTGAATTTTTCTAGACCTTGCAGTGATACTGTGCTGCCTCCTGTGAGGGAGCAATTGGAAGATTCCAGTAGCTTGAATGGCACTTGATTTAATTTTTTTTTTCAGTGTTTTGTTTGTTTTAAATGTCTTTTTTTTTTTCCTACACCTGTATCACCTGTCATGCGATGGGCTTGACATAGACTCACTAGATTCTTTAGAATCTGTTACGAATAAATACAGTGTATTCAAACTTGTTGGATTATTTTATTTGCTTGTCCATCTGGGTGGTGTGATGACGAGATGCCCGTGTACTGTTCCCACAAAAACCAGGCTCAGAACCAGCTGGGCACCTCCAAAGGGGCAAGGTGAACCCCTGGACTGGATCTGCCTGGTGTTTCCCCAGCCCAGAGCAGCTCTGAGCCTGGGAAGTGCTGTGGCTGCTGTCAGGTCCCTCCTGCAGAGGTTTCTGGTTTAAGCTCTGTCCTTTGGGTTGTGCATTTTGCCTTTCCCTGCTGCTGGAGGGGCAGGGTGGCCGGGTGGCAGCTGGTGCCCGTGCTGGGGGTGGCACCAGGGCCCTCCCTGCTGGCTTTGCGTGGCTCCATCCCTGCTGCTGTGAGCAGCAGAGGTGCTGCAGCCCTCGGGCTCGGTTCTGGTGTGTGGCTGTCCCCTGCCGGGTGTCCCCCTGGAGCAGGAGGGCTGCGAGGGTCTGTGCAGGAAGAGCTGTGTGCTGCGGTGCCACGGCTGGCCAGCTCCTCCAGCCCTGGCTGCCCTCCAGCCCCTGATGAAGTTTCACTTCCCCCTGTCAAGCTCCAGGCAGTTCTGGTTCCACTGCAACAATGGAGCTGACGATGTGCCAGTCCCTCTTTGGGACAAACTTGCTGGCTCTGCATCTCCAGATTTTCACAGTCGTGGGCCAAAGCTTCCATCTGACAACAGGGCTGGGTGTTCTTGCTGGGCTGGCACTGTCACCCCCTGTCCCTGCTTGGGCAGGCTCTTCCTTTTGCAGGGCTCGTTTCTCTCCTGGCTTTGGAGAGGTTTCCCTCTTTCTGGCCCAAGCCCAGCACGATCTCCTGCCCTTTCCAAGTGTGTCTCACCTATGGAAGCAGCTCTGAAGTGTCTTAGTCCCTCAGCTGCCCTCTGTGTGGGTGGCTGGTCCTGCTGTGGGGGTGTGGTGGATAAGCTGCCTCTGGATTTGTGACCCTGAGCAGAGCAGCAAAAGCCCTGACAGAGTCGGCTGGGCATTGTTGGGTGGATCAGCCCATACAAAGGGATGTTGGTGGAAAGTACTCGTTGTGATCAGAAAGGAGCTATCAATGTTTACAGCCCAGATTCCGATCCCTCTTTTGTTAATTGTCAAATAAAAAAAAAACAACAAAAAAACCTCTATATTTTCTCACAGTCTGTAGTCTGTCATTATTCTCCTCTTTGAGCAGAGGGGGTGATGGATCAGTCAGGGTGTGCCTGAGGCTCTGCTGGGTGAAATTCAGACTCAGGTGGTGCTGCAGTGCTCCCCTCAGCCTGGCTCTGTTCCTTCAGGGCGATAAATAAATGCAGTCCCTGTAGCTGGCCCCGTGCTCTGGCAGTGCCCAGCTCGTAGCTGGTGCTGGGAGCAGGCATGGTGGCACGGTGGCACAGTGCTGCACGTGCCCACAGCCCCTCTGCACTGGGCTGTGCTGGCTGCAGGAGCATCCAAAAATACCCAAAGCCCTCAGCCCTGCAGAGCAGGATCACTGCTGGGGCTGGCTGGGGCTTCTCCAGCTGCAGTTTTTCTCCTGGAAGGACACCTGGCCGTGCTCCAGGCTCACTGAAATGGCAGGAATTTGTCTCGACTCCAGCATGCAAGAAGCATCTTGCTGCAGCCGTGCTGCTTGCAGCCGTGCCTGCTGTGCTGGCCCGCTGCCCGGGGTGGCACCAGCTCGGCTCGCTAGACCCAGCGTGGCATTTCCAGCTTATTTTCATCTCTCCATTTAGCTTTTTCCTTGCAGCGTGCCAGTGTTTCTCCCCGGCTGCCCTCCTCCTCCTCCTCGTCGCGGGTGTGAAGGCTGCTCTGGAGCTGCTGCAGAGCAGAGAACAGCCTGGCTGTGCGGCTGCCCTGGCCATTTATAGCCGCGCTCAGGGCAGCGCCGCTGCCAAGCACGGGACAAACGCTCCATTGATGTGTCCCTTGCCCGAGGGCTCCCGGGCCGGGCTGAGCTGCCCAGGGCTGGCACAGCCCCTGGCTGTCTGTCCCAGGGCTGTCTGTCCCAGGATGGCACAGCCCCAATGCCTGCCCAGGGATGGCACAGACCCCTGCCTGTCTGTCCCAGGATGGCACAGCCCCTGTCTGTCTGTCCCAGGGCTGTCTGTCCCAGGATGGCACAGCCCCTGCCTGCCCCAGGGCTGGCACAGCCCCCTGATTGCCCCAGGATGGCACAGCCCCTGTCTGTCTGTCCCAGGGCTGTCTGTCCCAGGATGGCACAGCCCCTGCCTGTCTGTCCCAGGGCTGTCTGTCCTAGGATGGCACAGCCCCAATGCCTGCCCAGGGCTGGCACAGCCCCCTTGTTGCCCCGAGCCCGGGGGAGGCTGAGGGTGGGCTCTCTGCTCTGTCCCTGCCTCCAGTCCCATCTCCCGGCCCTGCTGCCGGACCGGGCTCAGCCTTTGCTGCTCCAGGAGTGTTTGAGCTCCCGCTGGAGCTGTGGAATACCCGGGCTTGGAGTGGGGCCACACAGAGCATCAAGGACAAGCCCAGTGTGCTTCTGAGAGCTGCCCAAGCTCTTCCTGACTGGCAGGCTCAGTGCTGTGCCCACTTCCCTGGAGCCTGCTCCAGTGCCCGGCACCCTCTGGGTGCAGAGCCTTTGGTGTGCACAGGCAGAGGAGCCTTTAAAAAGCTTTTTTTTCCCCTCTACATGGAGTATTTGTTCTGTTCAGCTCTACTGGGTGCAGAGCCTTTGGTGTGCACAGGCAGAGGAACCTTTAAAAAGCTTTTTTTTCCCCTCTGTACATGCAGTATTTGTTCTGTTCAGCTCTGAACACAGACTTCTTGGCTAGCAGCTCCGTGATTTCCCTGACAACCACCTTCCCTCACCTTCTTGGATCCAGCCTGGAATGAGCAGCTCAGGCATTCCCACCCCTCCTGAGCCGTCACAAGAACAGATGAGCTCCTGCAGAGCCTCCTGCCTGCTCCGCAGCATTCCAGCTTGCCCAGGCTCCCAGCGAGCCGGATGCCTGCTCTTCCCTGCTCCTTTTTTCGGGAATGAGCCACACGTGGCCGAGCTGCTGCTGGGCTGGAAGTTGCTGTTGGTTTGCTGCTCCCTCACCTGGGCGGATCCCCGGGCCCGGACACACATTCCAGCTTGCAGAAACACCATGGCTCTGACAAATTTGATTGAAATCCTCTGCTGGCATCCCGAGGTGCTCAGGGGAGTGATTGACAGCCAGGGCAGAGGCGTTTCCTGAGGAAAGGAGGAAAAGAAATCAATTGCCTTGTCACCGCAGCCTCGAGGTGTTGCACAAGGGAGAGGCCAAGGACGGGGTGTCCTTGCTGCCCTGTACCCCAGCCCAGGGGGGTGCCAGGGATCTATTTATTTATTTATTTGTGAAGTATCTATCGATTATAAGTAGAAATAAAATATGAATATCTGACTGGCATAAAGAATTGTTTGCTAAGAATAGAGTTTCGGTTTTTTTTTTATTGCGTATTTGTGGTTTTATTGTGTATCGTGTATTTTCAGTAACCCTAAAGAAACCCAATATATTCCAAGAGCAAATCTATTCAAAATTGCTGAAATGATGGAGAGAACCATTAGGCCTTAAACATGTGTATTTTTTATACCAACAGTACCATCTCCAGATGGTGCTCACCAGGGGGATGCCAGGGGGATGCCAGGGGGAAGGTGGCACTCCCGGGAGGGCTGCAGGGTGGCAGGGTGGCTCTGCAGAGGCTGCAGCAGCACCGGGGAGGCGCAGGGCGGTGTGAGATGCGTTATCTCTCCCGTGCAGGTGAGAACTCGCATTTTCGCTGCCAGCACAGAGCTCTCATCCTCGCTGCCAGCAGCTCGGTCCTTTCCCAGCCTCCCTCCGCACAGGACGCAGCCCCGGCTGCTCGGGGTGGCTGATCCTTGCCCTCCCCAGCAGCCCGGCGTGTTTACCCTCCTTATCTCGCCGCTATCAGAGCCGGGGCTCGGCCGGAGCAGTGTCACCCTGCCTTCAAAGGGGACGCCAGCGCTGCCGGGCTGTTTGTGTGCCCTACATTGTGCCTTGTAATCCAAGGAGGGGCTGGAGGCACGGACACCCCTCCAGCCCTCCTCCCTTCCCCCCGCACGGCGTGCCTGCAACAGCTGATTACTTTAAGCATCCCTCTACTAATATGCAATTAGAGGAGGCTTGGGCTGAAATCCCGGCTAAATCCGCGTGTCCGTGCCGTGACTCACCCAGGACTGCTCCCCGATGGGTCCCGGGTGCATTCCTCAAAGACTGGACACGATGGTTAACGTGCCACTCACAGTCACCCTTCCCAAATGGCACCGGAGGAACGAGTCCAGCCAGTTCCTGCCCTGCTCCTCCTCCCCGCAGCCCTGGCTGGGGCTGGCAGCTCCCATGACCAGGTTGGGCACCCAGGCTGCCACAGGGGTTTTCTGATCCCTCTTCCAGAGGGATTTTTAGTCTCCCCTCCAGAGGAGTTTGCTTGATCCCCCTTCCAGAGGGGTTTTCTGATCCCCCTTCCAGAGGGGTTTTTTTGGTCCCCCTTCCACAGGGGTTTTCTGATCCCTCTTCCAGAGGGATTTTTAGTCTCCCCTCCAGAGGAGTTTGCTTGATCCCCCTTCCAGAGGGGTTTTCTGATCCCCCTTCCAGAGGGGTTTTTTTGGTCCCCCTTCCACAGGGGTTTTCTGATCCCTCTTCCAGAGGGATTTTTAGTCTCCCCTCCAGAGGAGTTTGCTTGATCCCCCTTCCAGAGGGGTTTTCTGATCCCCCTTCCAGAGGGGTTTTTTTGGTCCCCCTTCCACAGGGGTTTTCTGATCCCTCTTCCAGAGGGATTTTTAGTCTCCCCTCCAGAGGAGTTTGCTTGATCCCCCTCCCTGAGGGGTTTTTTTGATCCCCCTTCCAGAGGGATTTTCTGACCCCCCCCTCCAGAGGGGTTTTCTGATCCGGGGTTTTCTGATCCCCCTTCCAGAGGGGTTTTTTTGGTCCCCCTTCCACAGGGGTTTTCTGATCCCTCTTCCAGAGGGATTTTTAGTCTCCCCTCCAGAGGAGTTTGCTTGATCCCCCTTCCAGAGGGGTTTTCTGACCCTCTTTCTAGGGGGGTTTTCTGATCCCCCCTCCAGAGGAGTTTGCTGGCAGTGCTGAGCAGGACCCAGTTCCCCAAAAGCTGCTGGTCTGCCCGGGGTTGTTCCAGCCGAGATCAGAGCCCGAACCCCCCCAAGAGGGAAGGCAGGGCAGAGCCCGCCCTGCCCTGGGGTGCAGTGAGGGCTGGGCAGTGTGTGCAGCCCTCTCCCAGCCCCGGGCTTTGGGAACGTGCCCTTCCAGGGAACAGGGGAGCCTCTGGAGCCGGGATGCTCGTTGGGGCAGGTGCGGTGACGTGGGGAGGGCACGGTGTGAGTAAGAGCATCCTCACAGAGCCCACGTCAGAGCTGAGCTCAGCCGGGAGGGGCCGGGCCCTCCGCCCCCACTGACGCCCAGGGAGCTGGGGACATGGCTGGTGGCAGTAATTGCCACCAATTGGTGGTGATTTGGCTGAGGGTTTGTTTTATCCAGGCAGGCTGAGGTACCCCGCGGGCCCGAGGCCATGCCGGGTGTGCAGAGCCAGGAGAGACCAGGGATGGCACAGGGAGGGCAGGGCTGGGGGGACAGCACCCCTGGGATGGGGTCTGGGGCTCCTGGTGGGTGAGAGCTCAGCAAGGCCTGGGACTGTGCAGCCAGAAATGCAAAAGTGTCCTGGAATGTGCAGCCAGAAATGCAGCAGTATCCTGGAACATGCAGCCAGAAATGCAGCAGTGCCTGGGAATGTGCAGCCAGAAATGCAGCAGTGCCCAGGAAGGTGCAGCCAGAAGTGCAGCAGTGTCCTGGGGCACCCACAGGGTACAGGGAGGGCAGCAGCAGGGCAGGGGGCTCTGTCCCTGTGCCACTCTCAGGTGAGGCCCCACCTGCAGAGCTGCTCCAGCTCTGGGCCCCAGCATCAAAAGGATGTGGAGCTCCTGGAACAAGCCCAGAGGAGGCCATGGAGATGTTCCAAGAGCTGGAACCCCCTGCTCTGAACCCCAGCTGGGAGAGCTGGAGGTGTTCAGCCTGGGGAAGGCTCTGGGGAAACCTTAGAGCCCATTCCAGAGCCTAAAGGGGCTCCAGGAGAGCTGGAGAGGGACTGGGGACGAGGCCTGGAGGGACAGGACACAGGGAATGGCTTCCCTGACAGAGACCAG